TAAATGTGAAATAGAGAGGTAATTATACATTGTTTAGAATAAAACTGATTCTATTGAACTCGAAGACAGCTAAAAGTCCTATATCAGACCAGGTCTGCGCATCGTCCAGTATATGTATAGATCTGAAATTGAGTACTCGTCCAGTAGAGTTCACCGCAAATCATACAATTTCAAGCATCACTCAAAATTATAAACAATTCTTGGTCCAATCAGAGTGATGTGAACGTAATTTCAGTTCAAAATGTTTCAAACAGGATTATGTAACTCCGAAACAAAACAAATGCCAAGAGAGGACATACTACAGCAAGTCATAAATTAAGAATACTTCACACCAAATAATCATTTTCAGTTGAAATTAATCTATTCAAAACCGCGGTTCAAATATTTAAAAAAAAAATTGTCCATTTGAGATAGAAATTTTGTTTCAAAATTGATTTTGAAATAACAGATCTAGATTGAAAATACGGATGGGAGTCTGTTTTATATGTGCCACCATTCAACTACATGTCATTTCTGGTGTCACAGGTCACTTGAGATGGACACACTGTACATTCAATTTCCACTTTCTCCAAGACGTGTTGCAACTAACAGCGTACCTATTTTTATACTGTGACAGGACGTGTGAGCTGTAGACAACACCGTAGGGAAATTCCACAAATAAAAATGGCTAAAACTAAACTAAGCAGGGATATCAAAGAACATCTACACTAGCTTAGCAATTTAACAACCATTGTTTGGAGTTTGGAGAAAATCCTACTTTTCAATATCAGACAAAAATGTATGTCATTCACATGCAGTGTCTTCAAATCGATTGATTTTTCTCAAAGTAAACATTTCATTGTCATTAAAACTAAAATGAAACATTTTAACATATACTATACCTCCTTTAAAATGAATAAAAAGCGACTATCTAAGAGTTAATTGCCTCACACGTGTCTCCTTCTTTAGTATTTAGAAATTGTGTTATACCGTTGTTTTTGCTTCTTTCCTAAGCATTTTTTCAGAGCTCTCGAAAAATAGGCTTAAGGAACTTGAATTGGATATACAGTGAATGATTTCAGTAAAAATACTGTTAATTAGGAAATAGATATCAATTCTTAGTGCATTGTTATAGAATAATGCACGGTTTTAGTTCAAATGCGTAGTAATATAATCACGAAGATCGATAGACCTTCAGAATGCACTCAGAATTGATATCTATTTCCATTCTAACTTGTCAAGAAAAAATATAATTATTATTATTATAAAGTTGAACTTTATGTTTGGTGGTTAAATTTGTTTTCGCCTCAGAGTTTCCAATAGAAACGTTCTTTAAAGGCTGTTCCAGTGGGTTGAAAAAACTGTCGTTAAATCAACCGTGTGTAGAAATATTTTGAGAATAACTAATTTTGAAAACGTTGATAACACTTTGTTTGTTTATTTTATTTCACTCTATAACTTTTCAAGCGAAATACAAATTATTAAAATTGAAATAAATGTAAAACTTAACTCGTTTGCGACATTAAAATAGCGATTAAAAAATTTAATTGTTTTGCACGTGCTGTCTGGTGCTACATTGTGACGTCACGTAAACAACACTTTAAACGTCTGTACAGCGTTAACGACTAAATTAAAGATATTGGTGTTCGGATTCGTTTTCTTAGTTAAACCATTTTCTTTCATTCTAGATACTTTTCACAACAAAATTCGACAAAAAATTGTTTTTTATTTATCAGATTTTTCAAACAAAATGGCGCCCTCAATGTGAAAATACACAGGGAGATAATAAGAACGGCGAGTGCATTGTTGTAGAATAATGCACGCTTCGGGCCGTCTTTTTTATATAGAAAAAAAACCCGATAGTGTTAGAATAAGAGTTAAAGATAATACAAACTGAACTCCTGCTCGTAATTCATATTCAACAACATCTTCAGTGTATGTTCTCGTTTAAAACTTGACGAGGAGACATGGTTCAAAATTCAACAAGAACATAAAAAATGACTCTGTTCTAAGGCGCTTATATCTTTTACAGTTGGCTTCTTCCGAAGGTTTTTAACCTCATTTTCACTCACTATCGATTTGGTGTAATCACAAAAATAATCATTAACATTTATTTCTAAGGACAGTCAGGGGTGTAACTTATAGCAGTTATCTTTTTTATAACTGAATTAAGTTACAAATTTAAGATCTACAGGTTGCTTCCCTTTGGCTATCCTTCACTTTTATATCATTTCTCATCTCATGAAGGAGATTTTTACAGTACATGCAGTAGAATGACTCAGTCGATGTCAGTCTAAGTCAGTATAACAGACGGTTTATTCTATATTCTATTATTGTTTTGAGACGAATGTAATCTTAACAGGAAACTATGAACCTTATTTGTACTGTTTGCATTGTTAAACGAATAATATGCAACTAAAAATATATATATCAGCTTTCGTTATATTTTATTTTGATACATATATGTATATTTTAACTTCCCTTTCTACGGATAATATCCACTTCATAATAAGAGCGTCGCAAAAAATACTCGCCCAGATGCATATTTGTTTAAAGAATCAAATATAATCTTTCAGATTAAAAAGACAAATTAAATTCATATAACTGTCCCTTGAGATATTTATTATTAAGTCTCTTTATGATAATTAGTGATAAAAAATGTCCGCATATTTATTGTTTATCCAAGTTATCGAGCTACAAATTGTTTGTCTTTATTTCCACAAATGCATACCTATGCGTCTGAACATATTTTTGATTTTTAAAAACTTCCGAAATTTTGAAAGAAACATTTTGACTATGACCTTTTACCTCAAATTCGACATGGGTCATATACTGCACCCATGATACCTGTATAACCTGATACCAAGTTTTAATAACTAGTCTTATCGGACAAGGACTTAATACTTAGTACAACAATGGCCTTTTTATCTTTAAAGTAATAGAGGTTCTTTATTGGTTGAGGGCAATGCTTCTACATAATTTAACAAACCCAAAATATATTCTTTCTTAAGTCAAGATCGGACGAGGATTTTATACCTTGGGTCATTGTGACCGTTGATGTTAAACCTTTTTTCAATATAGAGCAGAGCTCAAGATTATATAGGGATCATCAACTTGTTATGTCAATGTCCATACCAAGGTCTACAAACCTAGACTTTTACTTTTCACCAGTGATAGATTGAACATGGATTTTACATATGTCTTTGACTCGATGCCTTAAAATCGACAAGCGTCACCTACTGACCAGGGGCATGTAATATCACTCCGAATCTTAACAAACCAAGATTAATTGAGCGGACGATGATTTTACATTGTGACAGTCGACCTAATGACCTCAAAATAAATAGGGTCATCTTAACCATCAACAACCACCCTGCTAGCAGACCTAAAAAATGTGAAGTTATTATGTATACACCAATGTGGGTAAGGGACAGACATTTTGAGTTTATAATTACTAATGAATGAACCATTGGGTGGACTGCAAACGCCATACCATTTAAACGGATGAAGTAACCTTTGGACGTATAACAATGAGGTGAGACATATGATTCATCAATGTAAGAACAGGATTTACAGAGATACACTTTTAATTCTTATTTCTAAATGAAACTCTTATAGTCATAAGTTCAACAGACCGGACCATTTTTATTAATTTTGAGAAGTTCTCAAATTAGATTTCATCAGCTTGGCATGAAATGTCGTTCAAAATTCTTTCTAGATTTTCATTAGTTTCAACAAGCAACTGAGGAAATTCCTTATAAAACTCATATAATAAACTTTCATTTTTAAAGTTAGTGTCTACTTTTTTCAGAAGATAGGAATGATTGGGTCAATTATTGTAGGAAAAACGCAAAACTTATTCTTGTTGAGTTTTAGCTAAGTCTGTACAATAGTTGGAGACCAGATGTCCATTAAAGATCTAATTTCGGTTCTTTTGGCCATTTGGTTTCGCAGACAGGAACAATTTCGGCAAGTTATATAACCTACCAGGATCAATCTTATTTAGTTGATTTGTTAAAATCGGTCCAGTGTTCAAATGTCGTTCCAAATTAAATTTTAATTCTATTTTAAGCTCAGGTGGCAATCTTTCAGAGCCAAACTTTGTAGATTGTGCTTCAGTTTTGAATGATATTTCATTTAAATTCGTTTCTATTTTATTCTTTTCTATATGCGGTCATTTACTTTAACCAATAAAAAGAAGTTCATAGCCTTAGAAGTTAGATCAAACACTTAATGGCTTGTCAATCTTACTGAATCAAATTCAAGGTATTCGAAAGTTCAATACCACATGCGAAACTATACTGAAGATTCAAATTTGAGAACCGTTTAGCTTATTAATTCAGATAGTACCAGTTGGGTACACATACTTTAGGAACTACAGTGAGGTCTAAAAACTTACAAGCATAAAATATTAAATTCGTACATAGATCAGCTGAGGTACTTAAAACAGCATGATATGCAATCGATTATTAAGAAATATACTCAAAAAACATTGGGTAAACATATTTTGTGCTATGTCATATATGTCCAATTTTAGTGAAAAGCTCAACGCTTTTTAATTTTGTGTTACTTTCTAACCGTTTTAATAATTGTTCTGGAATATCGGAGTGAGCGAATGATCTGAATTTGTTCACACAAATTATTGCACACAAGTTATAGGTCCAGAAATTCATCGAATGGAACATTAATTTCTAAACATTATTGCCAGTCCCGTCATGTAAAAAATCTCGCTGGAGTCCCTTCAAACCTTTAGGCCAAAGATGGTTGTTGACAACTCACTGTACGTCTAATATCACTGACTGAACTGTAACAACTGATATTTTAAACGAACAAAACATAAATAAAAGTGACGTCAACGTCAGACCGTGACCATACGCAAACATCGTAATATCGCCAACAGTTTTATATACGTCTAAGCTTGTTACAAAAACGCGCGTAAAATCAAAACTCCGACAGTACACTGAAAGTAAACGTTTTTTATAAGTCAATTAATCAATTAAATCACTGGTTCTTACAAATTTACTCTTATGCTCACATTTCAATGTATTGAATTATATTTGATAGCACCGGCATTATCAATAAAAGTTAATGAATATGTCTTCCAGAATACAATTGGTCTGAATGTCACGCCATTGATGGTCCGAAATCGATATGCTCTCAATTCAACCATCGCCGCTAGTAAAAGGCAATGGGACATTTCTTTCTGCTGGTACTATCATTTTAAAAACGTACAACAGCTAGTTTGAGAGTGTATAGTCTTCCATTGCTTTGGTGTGGTATTCTTTCTGGTTTAAAAATGTTAAAACGTTGTTAACTTGAAGTTTGGCTTATTTTTGAGTGAGATCACCAGGAACCGAATAAGGCATGTCACCTGGAATAAGAAGAGAAGTAGCTCTTCGGCCATACAGACGATGAAAGTTATATAAATGCATCTTCATGTAATGGATCTGATGAGACCTAGGTAAGCGGTGGCGGGGGTAATTTATGATACACTCTACTTCTAAAATGAGGCTGACTAGTTACTTTCCCAAAACTTTCTTCAAACATGTCTTGGTTATTAGTCTTCGTGTCGGTTGGCGGGACCAAAATGTCGGGATCACATCTCGACGATATTAGAGATAGACAAGCAGTCAGTCATTGAGTAATATGAATCATTTTTTAAAACGTACAATACTTTTGTGCTTTTTTCTAAGTCATTTTTCAAAATCTGCACAAACACGGCTTCAGAAACTGTCGAAATTTTAAATTGAATATACAGTAAATGATGGGAGTAAACACACTGTTAACAAGAGGTACTTTTAACGCAAACTGAACTCCTGAGCGTAATTCATATTCAGCGAAATCCTCAGGGTATTGTCTCAAGTAAAGTTTGACGATGAAAAATGGTACAAAACTCAACAAGAGAACAGTGGATGCGGCAAACATCATAAATGTTAGGCTCTGCTCTAAGGCGCTGATATTTTTCATAATCGGTTTCCTACAAACTCTTTGATCCTTATTTACAATGTTTATTGCACAAGTGAAAACTCTGGGATCTTGATCACTTACTGAATGGTTGTCTGTACAATCACTGGTCTCTTGGGCACTTCCAACGCTCAAATCTGTGTGTTGAAAAATGTTATTTGCGTCATTATTGCCACCAGGATTTACTGATAATTGGTCATTTGAAAAGTCCATGCCGTAGATCTGATTAGAGCATCCAAGGACGACGTTCCGTTCGTACGTGCAATTTCTTTCTGATCCAGTGAAAGGCATGCCGCGAGATGTCGTCTGTAATTCAAACTTCCTTGATTCTTTTTTCTTCTTTTGTTTATGGGCAATTAAGGTACGAATCGCATATGAATAAGAAACTATTATTGTGAACCAAGTTGTTGACGCTAACAGTACATCAATTACATAAAATGAAGAAACAAGTACATTCAAATCTGGGTCATCCGTATTTGTACAATATAGCCCGGTTATATTCATATTGTTATATGGTTCTTGGATGTCAATTACGATAGTGTCATAGTCCACAATCTTCCTCACCGCCACGCATAAACTCACAAATAATATACAGGGTATTACGTACTTAAGTGAACGAGTTGATATCTGTTTTCCGAACGGTTTACATATTCTTCGGTATCTGTCTATTGAAATTATGCAGAGCAATGAATAAGACGTCCCGATCAGCCACTGGTTCAAGAAATGCGTTATCTTACAGAGCAAACTGAAACTATTATTAACATTTAATTCCATCTCTACGATATTAGGGATAGTCAAGAGGCAGATGATAAAATCATTGAAAGTCAAAGCTATGATCAAAGTGATGGTCGTTGTTCTTTTGAAACTCGTTTTGTAGAACACTGCTGCCAGTACGTTTCCAATAGCTCCGACTACAGCTAAAGTTGTTAAGCAAATTGCCTCTGGGAGCAAACGATTCCATATTTCCTTTTGATTTTGACGAAGTAGTGCGTGCTCACTGACGTTTGGGTATCCCATCCTGTTTCCTTTTGTTTACCCTTGTAGAATGCACGCTGAATTTATTTAAACAAATCACAAATACATGCTCAAATATCATATTATTTAACCGTTCACAGTCTCAAGAATAAGTTTGATTTTGATCCTGTATCCGATTCGTAATGAAACAAATGTTTTCTTTTGTGTTGCATTATATTTCTTTATAATGCTTATTGAATCGTCACCACAGGAAACTGTGAATAAGATTAGAATTATTAAATGATCAATAAAACATGAAATGTTATTATAGATTCTGGAGACTACAATCATATATAATCTTTTTATTTTATCTTTTGTGATTTTCATTGTGTAAATACATTTTCCTTTTATCTATTTGTCATAGTAAATCACAAGTCTTTAGGTACATACTTTAACCCGAACACTTGTTAGATTGCTCATTTAAAAAAACGATTGTTGTAGAAAATACTGCTTGGTTCATAATATAACACTAGCCAAATCAATGATTTCTATCTTTTGCACGCATATCTTTGAAGACTTAAGTACCAGTTAGTTATTTTTATCTTTTAAAGCCAGTCACATCAAGTTTAGGCAGCACAAACATTTACTGAAATGTATTGCTAGCTTCAGTCACCTGAGACAAATGCAACAGTTGGCAATTTGATCTTCACTATCCGTCCTCCGTCCTTCTCTTTTTCTCTCAAATGAAATCTCTTCTTATACCACAAGACTGATCATAATGATACTTGGCAATAAATGTCATTTCAAAACTATTCCTCTTCATTGCAGAACGCAGTCAAGCCAACCGAAACATAAATTGTGTTTAAAACCACAAGGCCACAAGGCCTTCAACCTTGGTACTTGGACTATGGTTACACCTTGTATTCCTCTACAAGAGTAGTTGTTCAATGTTTGACTTTGCATTATGGTCGCACCCATCACTTCACAAACTTATATAGCTGAAATCCTTGTCAGAAAAAAAATGTCTAGGGACGTAATATGTATATGTAGCAACGTTTAGTGGTCCTCAGTCAGTGCATGTATCTTCATTTTAATTTATCTCTCAAATATAAGAACAAAGATGCTTAAGAAAGGGTGGCATTTAACGAAACGAAGTCCCGAGCTGAGTAAGAATAAATTTAAACCATTTAGATAATCTAAAGTTATAATTTAAGTAGACAAAAGCATGATGAATCGCTAAAGCTCGCCAAGATACACTATTTCGCTTACCGGATAAACTTTCTCCATTCCGACATGAACTATGCTTTCTCTGTATCGGATCTAATCTTATCATTTTAGACTCGTTTTCATTTCCAGAGTACAACACTTTCTTTTCAAATGCTGGCACACTCATATAGCCTTGTTTTCCTTTCAGAGTCCAACCATCAAAATAATTATCATCAGAATGTCAAAAACAGTGACATAAAGAGGTTATTACACATTGTTTAGAACAATACTGATTCTATTGGACTCTATCACAGCTGCAAAACTTATATCAGACTCGGCTTGCCCCCCTCGTCCACCATAAGTATAGATCTGGCAGCTGTGTACTCGTCCAATAGAATTCCGTATTGAGCTCAACAATGTGTAATTACCTGATAATATAATCCTTGTAAGACCTTGTATCTTAATGAAAAGTATTATACATTGTTGAGTACAACACTTACAGGTTATTTAGCATTTTTAATTGTACAATACGGGAATATTTTTGGACAAATAGACAGTTGAGTATCATTTCATATCGGACGAGCCGCCGGGCGAGTATTATATGATTTCTAAAGCTTAGTAATTTGTGTTAAATGTTTAATAACCTGTTTATTCTATATTCATATTATATTAAGGAAATGCCACGTAATATTGTTATGGTTTTACGCTGCTTTAGTAGGATTAATTCGGATTCTTTTGCCGTTAACGCCTTTTGTCATTGACATGCATAGGAAAGGCCAAACTGTCAAATGTATGATGATATTTTGAATGGTCATTTTGGTACACTTTAAAAGCAATGATTGGATAATAATAATTGATATATAATAAAGAATTATATTGGACGAATACGTAGCTTTGAGGAATTATCCGAATCTAATATAGGTCTGCAGTTCAGTATCGTTCCCGACTAGGTAGAATGACCTCTTTATTCAATACCACCTATCTTTTAACGTTTTGAAGTTTGTTACATCAAGAACAATATAAAACACATTGCGTGAAAAATGCAAACGAGGCTATACAGAGTACAATATGGATTTGATACGGATGTTTTAGACTTTTTTAAGCTCGTAAAAAGAAAACATGGCTATACTGACATGATTGGGTGCAATAACAATTTATAAATGGTAGTTTATTGGTTACATTTCTTAAGATGTGAAAAATACTTACTGCCATGGCACTTATCAATGATAAAGGCTATTGTTTTTGTACATAAAAGATCCCGGATCGAAACTGTGAAAACTGATTCATAAATTATGAAATGTTGAGCATCGTTCCAAATTATAAACCATTCTTGTTAAAATCGGAATATTGTTAACATAATTTCAGTTTAAAACGTTACATACAAGATTTCGTACCTCCGAAAGTACAAAAAAGATGTCAAGAGACAGTGAAATTTTTGGAAAAAGAACATTTTGGAAATCAATGACAAAAATCATGAATACTTCTCATCAAACCTCAATTTTCAGCTGAAATTCTGAATCTATTCAAACCGCGGTCCGAATGTTTAAACAAAAATATGTCTATTTGAGATCGATACTTTAGTCCCGGGGAAAGAGAAGATTGTTAGCTTTGCATTCCTTTATTTGTTTTAAATTGATTTTGAAATTAGAGATTAAACTTGAAAAAAAAAAATTAGATGTGTGTCGCTATCATTTCTGATGTCATAGGTCACGTGGGATGACCACCCTGTGAACTGAACCAGAGGTTATGTTACACTTAAAACAAATGCATGACTCACAGAAGTCTTCCCTTGTGTCTCTTTTTTCATTTTACATGCTTCTGTTAAGTTTTCACACGATCTTGGCGGAATTTGACTTCAACACAATGCTCAATAAAATATTTTACCGCCATGACTGAACGTACAGACATGAGTTGTTTCCTTTCGTTTGTCACGGTCAAATGAAAACATATTTTTAGAAAATGGAGTTATGTCGTTAGACGTTTATTTGGCATACTTTTAAGCAAACTCAAGGGCTTATAGCTGTTTTTGTTATGTTTAATGTATACAAAGAGAGCAAATATTTGGACTGACTGGATATCCGTAAACATAGCAAACTAAATAGTATGTGTGCCTACAGTATGAATGTAGCTCGTACAAAAATTACAAATATAATATTCAAGTAGAAATATATATTGGAACCAGTATAGAAACGAAAACTGCCAAAGGAGAAGCGCTCAATTGGACAGTATGATAAAAGCAAAGTAGAATAGGTGGCATAATTATACAAAACTGGTGTGGTTATTACCTGCCCTTTACAGTTAACAAGTATTTCAAGTTTGATGTTGATGTGTCTGATGGTTTTGAGTAAATTTAGAATTTCTAGATGCAATTATTGCACATCTTGAAACATCTCAGAGGTCGGTCCACATAACCGGCATTCCTTATTAACTAATGGGTAATGACCGAATACAAACACCACAGTAATTTTTGCGACGGACGCGCCCTCAGGCGCGTTCAGAGCTATGTCATCTACACATGGGATTTCGTGGGCTACAATCGCGCAAGTGTCCTCAACCGAATAACAGCCCAAGAAATAGTACATGAATTTGATCCTATGAAACTCCCATACTTTGTCGGGATATCTTAAAAACTTCCATATTTAGCCTTTTCAATTTCAAAAAAAGTTATCCAAGTTAAATATAAACGTATTTGATTGATAATAACGCTGTAGCCCCATAGTATTATTGCGCAATTATGCAAATAACTGCCGAAACGATTTACCGCTGTCGAAAAAGTGGGACAGCAAATTATGCTATAATTCAGGAGTATGCTTAATAACTCATAGAAAATATAAGTAGGAAATAAACATGTCTCCATTAAACAAAACATTTTTATAAACAGATCAAAAGTTTTTCGTGTCTTTAGAATAACTCGCGCATTAATGAAAGAAGATCTCTTTTCGTGACTCATACCGCGGGTTTAGCTGAATATCCAGCAGTTATTAATAAATTAGACTAGTGTTATAAATATCTATTTTTGAAAATGCATGTAACAAGGAAGTTTTTCATCACTAACACCATGTAGTCTTTCACAGTAATCTTTATTGAAGGAAGTTATAATATCAGTTCTACTTCCGATCCTTGTGTTTTGTTTACATAATTTTCTAGGTCACGATATGAGTTAACCTGCTATGAGATTATAATAGCCCACGACCTGAAGATAACACTATTCTAAAATTAGATTCTGCATCACCTGTGCTGACTTTTGGACAAGCGATTAGGCATGTAATTAACCAGCGGATACTTACTTTGTTTACATGCAATACTTTAAGAAATTCTATACAATTGTCAGAAGCAAACAAGTTGAAAATGGAATTAAGTGTAAAAATTGAAAGGGACAACTAAACACTGTAGTCCTTAAGTGACATTTGAATTAAAATAAAAACGATGTGCTCTGGCCTCTACATCTTTACCTTGTAAATGAAAAAAATCTAAAAAAAAATACACCATTAATTGCTGATGATTTTAACCAAAAATATTTTAATGAGACATATCCAAGAGAAATTAAAATATAAATGATTTATATTTCATTGTCTATATGCCCACTATGATATAACACGAAGCAATTCTAATTGACATTCTCACATGTTTTATGTATTATGCTTGAAGTTTATTTGCATGGTTTTATTTTAGAAATATTTCGTTGACAGTTTTTTTTTCTATTTATATATCATTTCTTGGAATAAATCGATAAGGACACTGACAGAGTTTCAAGGCATAAATTTCATTCTGTATTTAAAAATTTGGACTTGTTCTGCTTGAAAGTAAAAAATCTTAATTATATCCGATTGGGCACATAAAATATATTGCTCTACAAATCTCGAACTTGTATGGAACAAATTTTCTCTGTTATATCTTTTGTGTTTTTTTTTCTTAAAAAAGCCTTAATGTCTCTCCGGTTGCATGTTCGTCGCATTCAGTGCTGCAGCACTTTGATTGAATCAGCGGTTAGAGACGAATTACTCTCAGATTCAAGAGATACCTGGTACCACTAATCAAACATTTGCTTAATACCACATACTCATAAATACGTCAAATGGGCTTACATACACGCGCAGCTACATTTGTTAAACGGTTTTGAAATGGCTGAGGCTAAACTGAGCAGGGGCATCAAAGAGCATCTAAACTTTATCTTACTTTTCAATATAAGTCAACTCAAAGTAAACATTTTATTGTCATTAAATCTAAAATGAAATATTTTAACATAAAACCATACATTCAACATCAAAGAGTTATGTGCATTTTATTTATTGTCTCCATTTTAAGCATTTGAAAAAAAGTATAATACCATTTTTGTCTCTTCTTTCCAGTTTTTCAGAGCCTGCAAATTTTTGGCTTTAAAAACTGTCGAAATTTTGAATTGAAAATACAGTAAATTATTGGAGTAAACACACTGTTAATAAGAGGTAATTTTAACGCAAATTGAACCCCTGGTCGTAATTCATATTCAACAACATCATCAGGGTATTGTCTCATGTAAAGTTTGACAATGAAAAATGGCGCAAGACTCAACAAGAAAACAGAAGATGCAGTGAACATCATAAATGTTAGACTCTGCTCTAAGGCACTGATATTTCTTAGAATCGGCTTCTTCATAATGTTTCTTATCTCATTTTCACTTTGCATTGAACTGCTGTAGTCACGGAGATAATTAGCACTTACTGAAAAGTTACTTGAACAATCACGAGTTTCTCGAGCACCAAATGAATTCGTGCTTGTCCAATCAAGGGCTTCTTGTGCGCTTACTAAATGGCTGTCTATACAATCACTGATTTCCTGTGCACTTCCGGAATGATTGCTTGTACGAGCAAGGATTTCTTGTTCTCTAACTAAATGGTTACTTGCAAAATCAAATATTTCTTGTGCACATACTAAATTTTCGCTTGTACAATCACGGATTTCTTGAGCTGTTGCCGAGTTGTTGATTGTGCAATCACGAGTACCTTGAGCGCTTACTAAATAGTTGTATGTTAAATCGCGGAGTTCGTGGGCACTTACTGAACCATTGCTTAAAGTAAAATCACAAATGTCGGGAGCACTTACTGAATACTTGCCTAAATTATCATTAAAGATTTCTGGAGCACTCACTGAATAATTGGTTAAAGTTAAATCATGGATTTCTGGAGAACTTACGGAAAAGTTAATGTTACACACCTGTTGAGAAGTTCTATCAGTTGGTTTGCTTTTAATTTGGCACTCATCATATGAGCAGTGGTATTTGGAAACGTCCATAACGTCGAACTGATCAGCGCAACAATTTATGCTGTTATTTTTGAAAGAATTATTTCCTTCTGATCCAGTTAAGGCCAATCTGCGAGATATTGTTTGTAATTTAAACTTTCTGAATAATATTTTTTTCTTCTTTTGGTTTAGGTTCATTAAGGTACGAACCGCATTTGCATAAGCCACATTTATTATTATCCAAGTTGCTAACGCATACATAGCATCTATTACATAAAAAGAAGTAACAAGTACATGTGAATCAGTGGCATTCGTATTAGTACAATAAAACCCTGTTACATTCATATTGTATTCAGACTTTGGCATGTCAATTGAAATCGTGTCATAATCCACAAATTTTCTCAAAGCCACGCACAAACTAAAAACTACTACACAAGGTATGACGTACTTCAGTGAACGTGTTGATATCTGTTTTCCAAACGGTTTACATATTCGTCGGTATCTGTCTATGGATATAACGCATAACAATGTATGCGACGTTCCAACAAACCATTGGTTCAGGAAATGTGTCATCTTGCAGAGCATACTGAAACTATTATTAACATTTAATTCCATCTCGATGATATTAGGGATGAGCAAAAGGCAGATGATAAAATCATTGAAAGTCAAGGCTCTGATCAAAGTCAAGGTTGTTGTTTTCCTAAAGTTCGTTTTGTAGAACACTGCTGCCAATATGTTTCCAAGAACTCCGACTACAGCTAGAATGGTTAGACACACTACATCAGGAAGCAGCTTATTGAATATTTCTTTCTGATTTTGACGAAGTGCGGGCTCACTCTTATTGAAGAATTCCATATTTAGTGCTGTTTTGTAATTCGAAGATAGTCCAATGCAAGTATCAATTATGTCTTAAAAGTACATGTGTATCACAAATAAAAGCTTCAATTTTCATTTATCAGAGACAATTTACTGTAGCAGGACTTAAGTTGATGTTTATCCCTGTCAGTATGGCACATATGTTTTCCTATTCGTGTGCGCATGTCATATTAAGGATATGACATTTTGGACCTCATTTGAACTGTTTGCACGAACAATATGCAATAAGCGTTTTATTCAACTTTAATACATGTTCACTCTTTTTTAACTTCCGTTTGTATCATGGATACTTTCACATAGATTAATAACTGTAAGAAATCGGGTTTAACAAAGGGTGCATTTAATTTACACTTAATAGAACTTTCTATTTTAAGTTTTATATATGAATACCACATCAGAGATAAAATAATGAATAACAAAAGCGCCACAAGCACAATATCCGTTTAAATGCAAAATTGTTTGAAAAAGAGAAATGAAATTGAAAAAAAAGTAAAAAATGTTTTTAATGAAAAGTGTGTTTCTTTCATATAAGATATATTTAGTTTCATTTATGGCTTACAAACATAAATTCTGATTACTATGGATCTAGATTTATTCATTTTTAAGTAATTGAGAGGACAATGATAATGATAACGATATAATACTTTGTGTCTTTGTGATATACGACAAATCCAAATCCCAAAATCAAGTGGGGGTAATGTTCTGACTTTCACCAACTTACCTTACAACAGATTTTAAAAGTAATGAAGTTATTGTGCAGACACCGATGTGGTAAATGAACAAAAAAACAAAAAGACGGACAAACAGACGTCCAACATTATGAGGCATTAGCCTCCTCATAAAACAGTAAAGTTTACTACTAAAACCGACTGTTCATTCTTCACCTAATGAACGAAACAAAGCTTATAAACCATTAAACTGACAAGCGCCATATCATTAAATAGCCAAAGTTACCTGTAGGCGTTTACCAATGAGGTGAAATGTATGATTCATTAATGTTGGAACAGGATTGAACAACAACCTGCTCACGATTCCGTTGAAATTCATGTTTTTATAGCCATCATGTTCAATAGACCGAACAATTTTAACTAATTTTATAGAATTGTCACATCAAGTATTATCAAAATTTGGCAAGGAACTGTTCGGGATATGTGATTCTAGCTTTTTTCATTAGTTTCATCAAGGGTGGGGTTAAACAATTAACTTGTTAATGTTTTATCTATTATTTACTTTGATGCCCACTTTGGTCAGAAGATCGAACTATAGTAGCTTAATATTAGATTAATGTGGGAATATTACTCTAAGTCTTTAATGCGGTCGAAGGCGATATGTCCATTAAGGCTTGAGTTCTGGTGGCCATAGACCGGAACAATTTAAGCAATTTATGTGAACTACCACACAAGGATTATTCTTATTTAGTTGGTTTGTCAAAACAGTTCAGTTTTAAAAGAGATGTTAAATTTTGCTTAGAGAATATTTCGTGTCAAGATTTTTCTTTTTTAGCTATATCGGTTACCATAGACTTTAGAAACAAATTGAAAATATTTTTAACGACAATCGAACAATCATTTCAGTATAGTTTTATTATGATGAACCAATGGCTTCCGGAGAGAATGTTATTGTCAACGGACACATGGTGCACTGTAAAGCATGACGGAATCTACCCTGTTAAGGAAATAAACCAAAACTCGCCAGTGACATAAGTTACGCCTTGAGAAAGTATTGGTTAAAATGAAATCAGCAATAAAACTTCAGACATTCAACCAATGTTAAATAAGTATATTTCGGCCCTTAAATATGCCAGAATTCTGTTACTTATTTAGACATTGGGCAACTTCAACAAAAATTAACTGTGGCTGAATATCAAGGTGATCTGGATATTATTTTAACAAATGTAGCTTATGATACTTCATGACGTAGATATTGATAACATTCCAAATCCTTAATTGTACAGTGTAGAAATATTCTTGATTAATTAAATTTGTGCTAAAAACCACTGTCGGTAGTTTGTAAATTATATGTTCTAATGAACTCGCATACTTGCAGCTACACATATTAAACAATTAAGCCGTTGATTAACCGAATGGTTGTTATCAGAAGCAAAGAACACGAAAACTAACGATTCAAGAAAAATTTATATGGAAAAAACAACGTATTTTTCAATGTCTATAAATAAAGAGTATATATGTATCACTTGCAAATAAACAATTCACATTATTTGCAAATAGTGTCTGTACAAATGTGTTTAGTTGCTCAGAATTTTTATTATTCATTCACATTTTAAGCTAAAAAGAAACATTTCAAATATAACAATAGCATGGATTGATGTGAATGGTTAATACAATTAGGGAGAAGAATTTTTTTTTCAACCTATATAAGACTTAGAGTAGTCAGTCATTGAGAAAGATATATCATTTTTCCAACCGTTCATTTTTTAAATGTTTTTTGTTCTTTTTAATGACAAATTATGCCTCAGACACTAATATTTTTACTTCTTTAGAAAAGGAAAACATTAATTGCGTTTGAATAATGTTTTTAGAGCATGTCAGGTGCTAGTTACTTGAAGGAAGTATAGCACTAAATGAGAAATAATTTGTCATAGAAGTAGCAAAATGTTAACACAGTAGTATTTTGACTTTCATATAAATATTCAAATTGCTATCGTTTAACTGTTTGCCAAAACGCAACAGAAGAAAAAGATCTTCAAGTACTTTGCCAGTCAGAACTTTTTTTGGAAACTAAAAAAAAATTTTTTGAGAAATAAAAGCATTTCCTGTGTGCATAATTGTCTTTAAGTAATTTTTCTAAATCTGCAAAAACTAGGCTTCAGAAACTTTCGAAATTTTGAATTGAAAATACAGTAAATGATTGGAGTAAACACACTGTTAACAAGAGGTAATTTTAACGCAAACTGAACCCCTGGCCGTAATTCATATTCAGCTATATCATCAGAGTATTGACTCATGTAAAGTTTGATAATAAAAAATGGTGCGAAACTCAACAAGAAAACAGCAGACGCGGTGAACATCATGAATGTTAGGCTCTGTTCTAAGGCGCTGATATTTTTAACAATAGGCTTTTTCCGAACTGTTCTAACCTTCTTTTCACTTCGTATTGTTTCGGTGAAAACACGGACATCTTGATCACTTACAGAATGATTGACTGTATAATCATGAATATCTTGAGCACTTCCCGCGCTCAAACCTGTCTTTTGAAATGTATCCAATGATGCGTTAATGTTATTGTCGTCATTTTTGCTGCCAGGATTATCTGATAAGTTGTCATCTGAGAAGTCCATGCCGTAGACCTGGTCAGCACATCCACGGATGACGTTTCGTTCGTACGTTTGATTTCCTTCGGATTCATTCAAGGCCAGACCGCGAGATATTGTCTGTAATTGAAACTTCCTGGATATATTTTTCTTCTTTTGCTTTTGATACATTAAGGTGCGAATCGCATTTGAATATGCCACAATGATCGTTATCCAAGTTGTTGAAACAAAAATCACATCAATCACGAAAAATGAAGAAACAATCACACGCAAATCCGGATTATCCGTATTTGTACAATATGACCCAGATATATTCCCAGTTATATTCATCTTGCTATCAGACGAGTGGATTTCAATTTCAATCGTGTCATAGTCCACAACCTTCCTAACAGCAACGCATAAACTAAGAAATGACGCACAAGGAATGACGTACTTAAGTGAACGTGTTGATATCTGTTTTCCGAACGGTTTACATATTCTACGGTATCTATCTATGGATATGACCCATAACAAAATGCAAGATGTTCCAATAAACCACTGGTTCAGGAAATGTGTTATCTTGCAGAGTATACTGTAACTATTGTTAACATTTAATTCTATTTCGACGATATTAGGAATGAACAAGAGGCAGACAATAAAATCATTCAAAGTCAATGATATGATCAAAGTCATGGTCGTTGTTCGTTTAAAACTCGTCTTGTAGAACACAGCTGCCAGTACGTTCCCAATAGCCCCAACTACAGTAAAAACTGTTAAGCAAATTACATCCGGGAGTAGAAGATTCAGTATTTCTTGTTGTTTTTGACGAAGCAGTGTGTCCGTGTCCTCACTTTTATTTAAGGATCCCATCGTGGTTCTTCTTTGACTTCAAAGAATGAACGACAAATTTCATTTGAATGAATCACGATTAAATGCTGCAACTTTACTTTTTAAGACACTGACGAAGACATTGAATCGAGCTTAATCCTAAATACAAATCCCAATGGAACAAAATGCTGAATGTTCTAGTCCGTTATATTTCTTATTGCGCATGGTATCTTTATGACAGTCACATGAGCACAATTTGCACTAAGGTTTTTAAGGTCTGTATTGTTAAAGAAATATATACAATGAAATGATAAATCAAATAAATTCCGTAAATGACGACTCAGAATAATTTTACTTTCTTCACTTTCAATACTTATACATGTTTTATTTTTTAACTTCCGTATGCATGGTTAAGTCTGTATTCTTTAAGCTAACAATAAAACACGAATACATATTTAATTACTCATTCCAAAATGATAATTAAGGACACACGGCTTAGTTAATGATACACTCGAAATTAAATAACACAATCCCCTGTGTTTTCTATGCATATTTTCAAGCTTTCAAGCAAATCATTTTTCAGCCACGGGATGTCTATACTTTTACATTGAATTCATTTGAACGATTGAATGAATGCATGAATTAATGAATGAATGAATTTTGTTTGTCATCTTAAAATTCTTATGCTGGGATTCTCATTGTCTACTCTGAATTCGGTAAAAGAAAATAAAGTGTTTTCTGAAAAGATCTCAAGAGACATTATTTGTTAATTAATATCAGAGACTTTCAAAAAATCAGCTTCTTATGCGTTGGAAACGTTCGTATGTCTTCAGAGATACTAGCTAGTAAGACTTTCTAGTAAAATTATTGCGGTTCCCCTAAGTTATATTGATCATTTTTCTGTTTGTCTGGTTGCTTTTTATCAATAGAACTAGAGAAGTCTTTGTTTTATATGTGATTCGTTTGGGGTCGTCTAATGGTGATTGGGGTTTCTTGGAGTTAAATGAACCATATATATTGATCCGAATTACCTAAACACACAATTAAAGATAAAACTGTTACCGTCGAGTAGGCCGATTATACAACGGTAAATATGCTGATCTCTAATAAATATCCAATTAATGTTCAAACAGTATATTGATTCGTTGACTATGCAATACATTATTAGTTTTAAAGACTTACAGAATGCAACTAGATAGTCTGGAGTTCCTTCCCCTTTCGCTACGCATATAATACTTTTTAGATGCCGGGAACCTGAATAGCAACTAGATAGCGGAAAAAATAAACATATTAATTCATGCAAGGGAGGTAACACCAAGTTATTATATTACGAAAATATTAAAAAACTTGAAGACAATCTGGGGTGTAATATATTACTGCTAATTACTTACTTACTTTGGACTAAGCCGAGTACTCGTACAATTGAATTCGGTATTGTACTCAAAAATGTATTATCACTTCATATTAATAGCCTTGTCCCTGTACAATAATGAAAATAGTCCTGATAGGGCTGTAACTATAATTTTGTACTGTATTACATGTAAAATAACACTCGTACAAATAATAAAGCTTTACTTTATATGAGTTTTATTCAATAGGACACGATTTTTCATTAGTAATACAAAAATTTAGTCAGCACTGCATGTTGTTTTTGTTGTTTGTTTTTTTCGTCTACTGAAAAAGTCGTGTGCTTATTTTAATATTTGATTAAATTTTCTCAATATAAAACACGAAATAATGATTTAAATTAAAAAAGCCGCGCAACAGATTGGCACCAGGAAATACGCTGGTGTACTCTGCGTCTAGTCCTTCCGATCTAACATGTGGCATTGTAAATGTTGTTTTGGATATTTTCAACTTTCATATGAAATGTAAATAAAAATGAAGCTTAACATTCTAATCTGATAAGATTGACAAATATAAACAATTCTGAATTATCTCATCTTAAATAAGACAACATTAAATTAGGACTTCTGCACAGTTACGTCCCCTTTTTTCTAACTACCATTAACGCCATTTGCAACAAATCAAGGGAGGTCACACCGATTTGGTTTTATTTGGGAGTTACTTAACTTTGTAACATTAAAGCCATTAACAAACAAGGGACACCACCTTAAATCATTTGGTTTTTCCTCGCAAAGTAACTTTCCTTGTACTAATAAAAATTTTAAAATATCGGGGAAAGCCACGCTTATCCATTTGTTTTTTCTGCACAGTAACTCCTCGTTGTATCTTAAAGCCATTTGCATTAAAACGGGAAAATAATATGTACATGTAAAATATAAGGGGAATGTCAACCTTTCCGACTTAAATTTGTTCTGCAACAATTATTCCCACTTGCAAATAAAAACATATCAGGGGAAGTCGGCCTTACTAGTTTTTTGTGTGTGGTTTTTTTGTTTTTTGTTGTTTTTTTAACTGGGGAAGTAACCATTTAAACTTATCGCCATCTGTAAAATCGCAGTGGTGTCCCTTTTCATTACTACACAAACCAGTTATTGATTGACAAACAATACCATTGATTTGAGATTTGTCAATCAAACCACTGTTAATCGTTTGCCTATATGTTTTTGTTCTGCACAATTACTTTCTCTTCTATTATTGACGTCATTTTCAAAAGACAATGGAGCCACCCAAAACAACTTGATTTTCTCTGCACATTACTTTCCCTTGTACCATTTACACCATTTTCAAAATTCAGGAGAGCATCATTGTCCACTTCCTTTTATTCAGTTACTTCTTCTAGTACCATAGACATTATTTGCAAGTTCTTGGGGGAGGTTACCCATACCGACTTGGTTTTGATTAACACCAGTGGGGACAGCAATTTTACTTGCCTCGTGCCATTTATGTCATTTGCAAAATATCAGGAGAGGTCACCTTTGTTCAAAAGTAACTCTCTTGTACCGGAAAATATAAGGGGACGTCACCCTTAAGATACTAGTAGTTGTTGCATATAGGACTTTTTATGTTCACAAATGGGCATAATTCTGTCAAAAAGCCCAGATCACCAGATCAACGTTTCCGCTCCATTACCCTACTTGGTGAAGTGTAGTGGAATGGAATGACAGAATATGATTTTAATGAGACTGTCAAAAAGCAATATCAGTTATGTGACCTCCTATTATATGATCATGAATAAGAGTACGAAGTTCGATAGCCTAGCTTATTATATAGGTTTCACTCATGAAGTAGATAATTTTTACCACAAAAGCAAAAGATAAGCGACGGTTTGAAAACATGTCATTTTTATTAGCTCTCATCCTAACAGTTAAACTTTATATTACCATGGTAGCTCTCATCTTAACAGTAAAACTTTAAATTATCATGGTAATGCTGTCACTGTACAACGCCACATGCTGCATACCAAATATCTAAGTTCTGGGCATTGATCTTTCTGAAAGAAAATTTTTAACACATGCCTATGTTAACTAAGACTTCTATTATTTTTGTATAGGTCGACCTGGCAAAAATCTGATGTTTATCAAAAGAAGACTTAAATGTCTTTTCCAATACAAGTTTTAAATCTCTCCAATCATGAACATTTATATATTTTATAATTTGCCAGCTTAAAATTATCTTTTATAAATATGAGGCTAATTTGCCGCTAAGCATACCTGTGTATCTGGCGGTCATCCCAGATTATGTCATAATCTGGGCTTTTGGCGGAATTTTTTCAGCCAGATATGGGGATATCTTTTGCTTAATAGATATTTGTTCTAATGGCATAATAAATTTTGCCCTTTTTTCAACTTCATATACTGTAGTTGTTTTTATTGATCTCCCCATACTAGTACACAGTTTTTCCTGCTTATCGGCCAACAGATGCACATAAATATATTTTATAGCCAGATAAAATCTTTTATGTCATTGTGGCTAATTTCATTTCTTAAACGCAAGTTATCATTTCGGTAATTAAACGCCACTTTGCTTTTCTGTTAATTTATTATATAGTTTAATAGCCAATCAGAAAGTGTCCTGCTTGCACGTGATCATTACAGTCCAATCAGCGTGCATCTTCTTCATAACAAAGAAAATTTTCAGAACGTTCTTACGTGTTTCATATTGCTAGTCTTATTCCTGCTTTTTGACTTATTTTTCATCCACCACCTCCCCTTCCACCTCCTCGTTATTTTATTGTATCACATGTTTCTGCTTGGCTATTATTTTAAACCTTTTTATTGTTTTTTCTATTTGTCTTTTATTTTGTATTTCATATTGTTATTGTAATGGCGGAATTTTTTCAGCCAGATATGGGGATATCTTGGCGGAATTTTTTTTCAGCCAGATATGGGGATATCTTTTGCTTAATAGATATTTGTTCTAATGGCATAATAAATTTTGCCCTTTTTTCAACTTCATATACTGTAGTTGTTTTTATTGATCTCCTCATACTAGTACACAGTTTTTCCTGCTTATCGGCCAACAGATGCACATAAATCAATGTATTTCAATGAAGAAAAGTAATTAATTACTGGCTGCATGAGTAAAAGTGTAAAAACTTATTTTTTTCAGTATGGTAACCTTGATGCTTACTTCATCTAAAGTTACAGGAATACCCAAAGTATCTATTTACCAGTCAATAAACAATTTAAGCTGTATGTGCAAAAAGGGTATTACTCTATTTCTAGCACCAGTGACATTGAAGCAGGTGACCCAATATTACACCCAGAGTTATAAGACTTTCAATGTCATTTTCCTACCAAGTTTCAAGTTTTTATTTCAACTAGGCCCATATATGGGCATCAGTTTTATAAACAGTAAAATTTCACAAACAAATGAGCATTAACAAAATAATACAGATGTGTAAATAAAGCTTGAGACAAAATAATTTGCATGATAAATACAAAAATAAGACTAGAGATACTTAAATTATGAATGACTTTACAAATGAGTGACTAGAATGAGCTGCTAGACATAATGCAACCGCACAATGAAAGTTCCTGACCAAAACGCAAATGAAGTGATGCAGCGACATGGTGTAACCACAACATGGGGCCCATGAAGCCCCACACTGCAACTACACCACGCCGGTACAATTA